GATTTCCATGGTATGAAGGATTAACATTAACGGCTCGTAAACAATGTCTCATTATTAATAAATTCCTGAATGAGGATGTGACGTGAGAGCGTCTATGGGAGGGAATGGTCTATGGTAAGCGACCACTTATACTAACCAATGTAGTATCACATTAGCTTACTTGCCATGGCGTAGTACGTACCGAAGATTTATATCACGCTCTCTTACTGTGGGAGGTATAGAAATAAAATATGCAACAACAATAAAAAAATATATAAATAAAAATATTCTAATGAGACTGCAGGAAACGATCGACTGCCGATTTTTTGCCGTAGAAATTGGTTCGTGCAAAGTGCTCTCGTTTAATTTTGCTCATTTATATCAAGACAAATAATATTAAAATCAAGATAAATAATTATATTAAAATGAATAATATTTATATCTTTTTCTGATACTATTGTACAATGTTATATTAAACCAAATCTTTTACGAATGCGTATTGATCAGTGTTAGTAATAATAGTTTCGTGATCGCGGCATACATTTATTAAATAAATTGATTTCTTTGATATATATCGCGATCCTTGACACAGTTATTGACCCAATGATAGTACGCAGATAGATATATTCTTCTCATTGTGATGGAACTCTGATATGAAAAATTGTTCGCGAAAAAATATGTTTTTCTTACGGAGAAAGAATTAAACACTTATTGACAAAATCAATTTTGTTATAGAATAGAGAACTAGACAGTCTATAATAGTTGAGTCTCATTTTATGTATATTGTTAAACAATAAAGAATTAAATTTGAACTAATTCGTTAACTTAAATAACATTTTATTATTTTCAACTTTCAAATGTGTGTCAAAATGTAGTATTATTTCAATATAAAACATAGAATAGTTAAAAAAAAAACAATTCAACCTGTTTCAATTTACCTAATTGCTTAGTTTCAAAGCATAAACAGCATTCAGACTAATATGAACTTGGTAAATAATAAACTAATTTTGAGTCAAATTAATATATTTCTTAAGTTATATAGATAGTTTTATTTAAATTAACGATATATTGAGGCAGTAGCAATCTATATATATA